ACACACACACACACACACACTCACGTAGTCCCAGTCTGAACACTTTAATTTGAACACAGGAGATCAGTCAACTGATGGTAATACAAGCAGCGCCCACACAGTCAGACCCAACCCACAGAGAAGAGCATCAATCCATGACCCATGAGCTGAATGAGGCTGCGGAAACAGACACCACTCACATACTCATGAAGTGTATAATGAAAAGAGAGGAAACCTATCTGCAACCACGGGTGTCTGGTTGTGGACAGACGTCTCTGACCTTGGTTCAGAAGTCGATTACAGACGACATTTCACCTCACTGATGTTGAGCACGTGTCGAGTGCCGCCAGGTCAGCAGGAGCAGCGTGTGGTCGTAAAAGACTGGAGGCGCAACGAGCGTTGGTGTTTGAACTAGAGAAGGTGAGCAGTTTAACAGTTACTGCGATGGATCCGGGAGGGACTAAGGTAATGCCGCAGGAACACCAACAACATGGTCTCAGATACTACAGAGGAGACCGGCTGGTACAAAGCCTTTAATACGACCTAAATGAGCTAATGTGACTGATATAAAGGTTTGTCAATGATCAAAGTTTATAAATTGAGCTGAGATCTATCTAAATGTGATGGCTTTTACAAATCATCAAACTGGAAATAAAGGCATTAACAAGTTTCCCTGCCCATATCTTATTATCAGTACAGTATCGTTAAAAACAGGCTCACATGATGCTCACATGATAATCTGAAGGCAAATGGCTCAACTAGGTTTTCTATTTCTTCCTGGGGATTCTTGTTAAGGCCACACTGCTGCTAACATGACTGCCAACATACCCTGATCATGTGGGGAACAGACGACCTAAAGCAAAAGGGTACAGGTAAACTCTCCCCCGTTCCCCCAGCAGAGACTTTGCAAAATGTAAAACCATTTGAAAGAGGCCTAAATTCTAAATACGTTTCCAAGACCCTGGTACGAATAATCTGCTCAAAGGCTTTAGGACTGCATCCAAGAGTCGAGTCCAGCAAACATTGCTCAGTGAGTGTACAGTGGCCACGTACATACAGCATTTCTGCTCCCTGTAATATGCTTTCAAAGGCAGATCACGGTAATAGTAGAAAATAATCTGAAAAACAGATAAGAAAGAAAAATGGAGAAGACAAGGAAGCAGGGATGAGCAAAGAAATCAGAGAATTCATATTTTTTCCAAGAGTGGGTAACAATTATTTTTTTTTAAACTTATTTTTCTTTTATAAAGAAAACATAACTGCAAAATCTGGATTGTTTGCTTTCTCCATTTCGAAAGATTTAGTACTTAACAGAAAGGGTGGCTGCAAACCAATGAAGAATTACACTGGGAGGAATGATGAAGTGATTGGAATTTAGAAAAGAGAAATTTAACTTTGGGGGGGTGGGGCAGGTGTTAATGGACGGAGAGAGCAAAAGCTTGAATCAACAAATAATCCAGGCGGAAGAAAACAGGATGACGGCAAAAGAAAGAAAGGGGGGTAAAGCAGAGGAAGACGGTGATGGAGGATGGGGAATCAGTCTTTCCACTCTTTCTTGATAGTGAGGCTCCAATCCCAGGAGAGATGGTCGTGTTTGTCATCGTCAGTGAACTTGGACTTGATGTCGTAGGTGCCGCGGGCCAGCATCCCCTTGGGCGACTCTTCCATGGTGGTGAGGAACTCGTATTCCTCATCTGGTCTGGGCCCGTAGCTGCCGACCATGTAATCTGACTTGTCAACTATGTATTAGAGAGGGAGGGAAAAGTGGAAGATGTTACTTGAAGGCACAACATGCACGTCCTCAATTCAAGATTTTACAATAGAATTTATTGCCTCATAAATTCCTAATTACTGAGAGGAACTTTATCAAATGCAGAGAAGAAGAAGACAAACTGGCAACAAGAGCAGACGTCTGTGTTGATGTTCTGTAAACAACTCTAGCAGCAGAAATGACACGTCATCTCCTGCCTCCTGCACACCACATCTAACCTGAATGTTAAATCTGACCCAGACGATCTCCTGCTGCGTTCTTGGGTCCAGACATTTCCGGACTAGAATCCAGGGGATATCACTACATACGACAATAAAACGCTAACTTGAAACCTTAATTCATTTGATGATGGTTATTACTGAGCTTCAGAGGTTCTGTAGTCTTCATGCTAAGCTAAGCAAACTGGCTGCAGCCTCTTATTAGGTGTGGAGACACAAGGGTGGTGTCAATCTTTTTGTCCCAGTCTCCTTTAAGTGAGAAGAAACTGCTCTTAAATAGCCAAAGAAATAAATCCCTCAAAGAAACTGCAGAGACTAAATGAAAAAACCTTCACAGCTTTACCTTTAATTGCTTTCCTGTATGACTGCTGAGTGTACTTCAGGCCTGACACGATCTCCTTGTTGACCTGCAAAAAAAGCAACATGCGTCATTCTCTAGAGCAGTTTCCCCCGACAAAGACTAATCAGTGACATCTGCACACTTCCAACAGTCCGAGACAATAAACAGAGACGCAGCCCGGTCTCACTCACCTTGAAGTTGATCTTTATTCTGTATTCGACTCCCTCCTTCAGTACAAACGGGTTCTTCCGGAAGTTGTCCAAGTTTCCTGTTAGAGAAAAGCAACAAAGCAGAGAGAGTGAGAGAGAGAAGTCAATGATACTGACCACCAGGTGGCAACAAGGCCTCAAGTGAGCCCAGCACTCCTGTTCTGTTGTAGTTCAATGAGACCACATTGGGAGGGCAGCAGAGCCACCAGGAAACAGCTCAGCAGTTGTACCCATTTACACAGAAAACAGGGATGATGACTAATTGAACACAAATGACAGAGCAGGATACACGTTTCAATTCCTCCACTGAGTCTGTTGTAAGGAACGACTGCTTTAAATGACTCTACTCACCCTGTAGATCGAGGACCAGAGGGTTTGGTGCCGTTTCACAAACCAGAGTCATTCGCGTCACCTGGATGTTGGGGGTATTGGGATCTAAGACGGTGACAAAGGTCAGAGAAAAAAGGAATTATGACCCAAAGAGTATCAGTTTATAGGAAGTTATAGAAATGTTATAAAGGAAATGTTACATGTGGTGTGTAAATCTGCTTCTATGCTTAATCATTCAAGTTCAATATTTTTCCACCAACCTAAAAATGTTAGTGGATTATGTTTGTAAAATGATCACATTTATAATATATTTTGAGTAGAAAAACAATAATATGAATATTCAAACTGTGATGGGTTTACAAAATGTTAATATTGTAAAAATGTTCATTTTTACTCATGTTTTTGGTTCAATCATCACGAAAAGTCTTTAACCTCTTAATGTACATGTAATATTAGCGTTACGGATATTCAATACAAGACATGAAAATTGCATTTGAAAAGAAATAAATGAGTATAGGGACTTAGGGTCGCCCACTAACCAGAGGGTTTGATCCCTGGCTCCTGCAGGAAAGCTCTATGAAAGGTTGATATTTTTTATTTTCATACTAGACAAATGCATCTGTTATCTCTTTAACAAATGTGAAAAAACAAGTAAGTTCAGTTTCACTTCAGTTTTTTAATAATCGTGTGTGTGTGTGTGTAACTCAACTGTTCTCAAGTCAAATAACTGAGGATTGATTCTCTGCAGTATTGGTAGAGTGAACACACCCAACTGTGGTTTTTATAGCACATGACTGTACTGTTGAATTAGATCTAAACATCTGTGGTTACTTAATGGCTTTACAGTTGTTCTAGAAGATTATTAGAGTTATTCAACAGCGACCACTAACCTGCAACCACAGCGGTTTTACCCAGCAGTGCCTCCTTGTACTTGCGCAGGCTCTCGTCATCTTTGTCCAGCTCCTGGATCTCCTGTAAGCTCTTCTGGGCGGGAGGTTTGTAGTTGGCCGCGCTGTCGGCCTCTTCGTTGGCGGCTGCAATCGCTGCCAGCTGCTCTTCTGTAGGCTCCTGCTCTGCCATGGTGCTAAAACCACACAGAGAACAGTGACAGCAGAGCGGAGTGGTTAGAGGACAAGAGAATAAAGCGGTAAAGACTGTCAGAGGTTTCCACACCACTTCCCTTTACACGCTTTAATGAAATGTGACCAACATGTGGAGCAAGGCAGTGCTGGGTTATTAGACATGCAGCTGCTGGATATTTATTACGGATTAGTTATCCAGAGGAAAACCTCAGTGGACTTTAACTGAGGGCTCTGGCAACGTAAAGCAGCAGATCCTGTAATAATAACATGCAGAAGTTTTATTCGTATTTTTTGTAGAATGAAGCTCAAATTGATTTACATAAAACAAAACAACAGAGGACTAAAAACAGAACTAATTGA